TCTCCAGTCAGTAGATGATGTGGCTAATTGTAAAAGAAATCAAAAAGAGAAACACTTTTTTCAGTTAATTTAACCCAGATTGAATCCAGGGATCAAAAAAATTCACGGGATCGGGGATCAAAATTTAAGGCCTAAATGTGGGATCAGTTGACAAAAAATATACCTTGTTATCTCAACGAGTAAGAAAATGATGCTTTTGGAAAATGTCTGCACGTAACAAAAACAGTTAGAGGTTTGTTGCCAAAGCAACTTAACCATAGTAAAAGAGAACAGTATAAAACAGCCCCTTAAGTGCAAGAGACAGGTGCATTTAAATTGCATAATACATTTCCTGTCCGTGCACTTTTAAACATTCACAGAAGGGCAACTATTAATAAATAAATAAAGTCTTTATTTATCAAGAGATAAAAATACATATCTTTTGTTACAAGTAAGTGTAAGAAATTTAAAAAGTTAAAAAGTAAGAAATAAAAAATATATACCGGTATATATATCTAGTATATTACATAGCTAATTCATATTTAAAAACTAAACGATTAATAAAAGAGTTTTTAAAGCGCATAGTGTTAATCTTAGGTTTAAAACTAGTTTCTTTTCTAAGATTGTAGCTGGAGGGTTTAACACGAGGCATAATAGATAAAAGTGGATGTCCTTTGGCATTAAAAACTTTTTTGAAAATTTTACGGTCTTGCCTCTCTAAGAAATCATAAACACTTACAGGCTTAGACGTATATTTCCTTTTAAAACAGCGGTCTAAGAAACATTGTACGGGTGTAAGATCGGACTCGGACGCGGCGTAGACAGATAATGCGTAATTAATATTAGGTAGAACTATAGTATTAAAGAGAAGGTCTATTTCTGACTGATTGTACCCTTCTTTGCGCAGCGTTCTAAGGATATGTAGGGATTTGTTAGCTTTAATAAGTTTGTTCTTCACGTGCACTGAAAATTTGCTGTCACATTGGAAGGTGACGCCCAAAATCTCAACTTCTTTACAGCTTGGTATCATCCCAATGGGTGAATAGAGATCGTGGTTGCCTCTCTTTTTGATCGTCAACTCTTTACATTTGCTTGGGTTGCAAGACATTCCATTTGTATTCGTCCAATCTAAAAACTGTGACACTAACTGATCGGAGTAGTCTACCTCCTTCCATACAGGAGCAATAATTGTCGAGTCGTCAGCGTACTTAAATAGCGCGTCATGATTACCTAAAGTGATGTTAAGATCATTGAGGAAGATATTAAAAAGGTAAGGACCGCTAACGCTACCTTGAGTTGTCCCTTGGTTGACCGGTTTCCAGTCACACTCAAAGTTGTTACAACATACCCTTTGTTTTCTATCCTTTAAAAAGTTCAAGTACCAATTGGTAATATATGGATTCAGTGGGAGCTTTTTTAATTTACTAGCAAGAAGTTCATGTTTCACAGAGTCAAAAGCTTTGCTGAAGTCCATAGCAAAAAGGCGAACTGCTTTACAATCCGGGTTATCCAGGTAGCTGTTGGTCCTATGTTGAATTGACAAGAGAGCATCGGTACAGTTTCCACCTTTTCTGTAGGCGAACTGTGAGGTGCTGAGGTGGCTTTCAATTGTCTCGCGGGCATAGCAGTGGTACACAATTTTCTCAAAAGCCCTCGCTATAACAGGAGTTATATTAATGCCGCGATAATCACCATGTGCTTTAGGAACATCCACTTTGGGGAGGGGGTGATGATCGCACGCTTCCACGATGATGGCAAACACTGAGTAGAGATTGAGAGATTCCAGATTTTGGTGATAAGAGGCGTGAAAATCTCAGCATGCTCTTTCCAAACCCAGTAAGGAATCTGGTCGGGTCCAGTCGCAGTTCTTTTGAGAACGCTAAGTAAATTCCAGACCTGCCGTTCGAAATTACCGGGATCTCCATCCCACTGCTGATTGTGACAGGGGTTGGTTCTATGTACATATCATCTGAGCAGAGCCTAGCGAAGTAATCATTCAAGTCCATCAGACAGCTGTTATCCAGGTTTACTTTGCAGGATGCACGACGCCGCTGCGACAATTCATCAACTCCTTTCCACCATGCCCGACTACCTGGAGGGGCATCCATAAACTTTCTCCTATTTTCCGAGATGATGTCAGCTATTCTTTTATTAACAATGCACAGCCTGTCTTTGCTCAGACGAGAAACTCTAGACTTCGTTCTGATCATTGACTTAAGGAGTGGTGTCATCCAAGGCGGATCGCGCGTGGCGACATGGATACAGTTTTGACTGGCATACACCTGTCCATATGGCGCGAATCTTTTCTTCCAATACACAAACCGCTTGCTGAACATCAGGAGCAGCGAGCACATTATCCCAGTTTTCCTCCGCCAGCGCGGTGTAAAGTGTGGCTTTACGATTCTCTCTACAATCCCGTATCTGGACTTTACATCGGATGGGTTTTAACTTTGTACCAGCAGGGAGAATAACAGCCGTGTGATCGGTCTTGATTGACAATTGAAATGGGTGACACTTGTTGAATAAATCTGGGCGATTAGTTAAGCAGTTATCTAAACACGCGTCACCCCTGGTCGGGAAATCTACCAAGGCCTTCCAGCCGGACATGCTTTGTGTTTATTTAAATCAAGGAGATTGAGGTCGCCACCGCATACAAAGACGGTGTTTGGGTCTTTGTCCAGTGTGTTGTCAAGAAAATTGATAATATGACTCATTAAATCACATTCCTGGTAATTGTGCTTTGGGGGATTGTAAAGTGCCGAAATTAACATACGGTGCCCCGAGGGAAGAAGAATGGTAACACAAATCATTTCGTATAGATCAGATCTGTAAACATCGACTACATGTAAATTGTTCCTTATGTAGATTGCAACTCCTCCTTTACTCCTTTTATCAGTACCAGCCCAGTTCCTGTCTCGTCTGAGAATCGAGTAATTTGGTATATTCACAATAGCATCGGGAATGTCTGGTTTCAGATGTGTTTCCGAAACAACACAAATATCAATGTCCATATTTTTCATATCTGCTTCAAGTGCGATAGGTGCCCTCACTCGATT